CCTCGTGCGGGGACTGTTCCTCATGTTCGTGTTTCCGCGCATCATCTCGCTCGGCCGTTCGTTGTTCAAGACGACCGACGGACCAGTTCCGGAACAGTCTCCAGAGTCTCCCCTGCCCACGGAACCATACGATATCGATCCTGTACCGGCAATTGTGGGCGATCAAGAGGAGCCGGCGAAGCCGCCCAAGGCTGCGACGGTCACGCAAGGCGCCGAGTTCGACCTGTTCTTCTTGAGATGGAGTCTCTTGGTCGACGGAGTGATTACGGCATCGTCGGCATTCGCTACGCAAGGGTGGCATATGTATCTGGGTATGTATCTATCGCTGTCTATCGTATGCACTCGGGCTGACGATAGAATAGTCGGCTTCTTGCTTCCGCTTGCATCGGGGTCGGCTCCTGCTAGCAAGGGCGTGCTCACGGAGATGGTGCCGGCGAATCGCAAGGCAGACGCGCTACAAGCCATGACACTGGTGGAGTACTCGGCCACTCTGACCACCATGGGGCTGTTTGGCTTCATCTTCTCCTCCTTTGCCGACATGGGGAAGTCCTACCTGACTTTCTACTGCAATGCGGTGCGTACCAGTCTCTATTCTGTCCTTTGTTTAGCTGCAGCCCTACTGACCGACTTCTTAGGCCGTTGCCATCGTTGCCGTGTTTCTGCTCTTATTCTCGAGGTTCCCGCCGCGTGGGAGTGAGATGGTGGCGGAGCATATAGAGACATCGCCTCTAAACGGGACATTGGAAACAAATGGTGACACAGCGTAGGACACGGTTGGCATGAATACTTGGGTATTACCGCTGGTATAACCGCTGGTATAAGATACTACATATCTAACAGTTAATTCAGATAATCGACTTATCCAAGGTACAATTCCGTGGCCATGCGGAGAACATGTTGATGTCTGGAGGTACATAGTGCCTTCTCTCAAAAGCCACACGATCGTGTCGTGTTCGCGTTCGTACCTGCGCTTGACCTCCTTACATTGAACCTGTCAAAATTTGTTCGTCTTTTCTTGCATCTAGAGACTAGAACTCCACTGGACCACTGGAAGGACCCTGCATAATGCACTGGACCAAGCCACTAAGACCCCGCTAGTCCTAACCTACCTAAAGTTTGACCCTTCCACCAAGACCGTCGTCGCTTCCAAGAATTAACATGAGAAAGTGGCGGAAAGAACTTACCAATGTAATGTCTAGATAGAAGGAACACCGCGCAACACCTTTGCATCATCTCAAAATGTTCCATCACTCTCCACATGCCAACAAGATGAAGAATTCCCTCGTTTAAACTTTGGCTACCGAGCCATGTCGCTGGCCCACTGCAGTGAATCCGCTTGGACATGCTTGGTTAGTATGACAGGGGTCGAAGGGAATTGGAAATCAAAATCATAACAAAATCCCACGACAGTTTGTCAAGAGTCGTACGTGCTCCGGCTCGTGGCGAGACGAAGAGGACTTTGGCCTGCTTGGCTTTTTCTTCTTCTTCTTCTTCTTCTTCTTCTTCTTTCTCTTCTTCTTGTGCCTCTTGCTTCCTCAGATTTGCGACAAAGTTGGATACATCACGGCTTATGGAATTTTGTGTCGGGAGATTCAACGGAAGGATCAGACAGTCAGACCGTCCCGTGCCTTACTATTCCGAACTTCCATGTGACGATTCTTGTCCGACATATCCGGCAACAGTATATACAACAACACCATGCGCCTTTAATCACTTTCATCATACTTTCACTTCCTCCACCGCGTCGACAAGCCTCCTCAATCGCATGACTTACCATGCCCTGGGCTACCAACCCGCTCTTCGGCTCGCCAAGTCAAGACCCGAACGAGAAACCCCGAGTCGACCCCGAGGCCGCGACTGTTGCTGGAGATGAAGGCAGGGAAGTGGGAGTCGGCGGCCGGGGAAGCGGTTCTACTAGTCCCGATCCACTACCCAGCGTGAAGGGCGATGACTACGGTTCCAAGATACGACCACCGACATCCAAGTTCACGGCTCACCAAATCTTCTACATCTTCATCCTCGACGGTATCGGTGCTGCCATCGTATCGGGCGGAATCAACTTTGCCATCGCTTACGGTATGCCTTTGCGATGTCCCCGCTCGTCTTGGCCTTGACTTTGTTGCTGACCTAACTGCTTCACAGGTCTATATCACGGCAGGGGTGGCCCAAAAAGTCCCATACGGCTGTTTCAATTCCCCAACACCCTGGCCGGCGACACCGCCGTCACCATATTCGTGCAGTTCCTCATCACCTGGGTCATAGAGTCCGTCGTCGTGAACTTGGACATCCGAAAGGGTGCCATCCCGCCGGTCGGCTTCATCCCCGAGCCCAGGGGGAAGCTGCTGCGATGGTATATGATGTTGGATCGCCAGGAGCAGACGTGCGACGTTAGAAGCGTGAAGCACTGGCTCGAGTTCCTCCTCTCGCAAGCCATCCGGGCGCTCCTCCTCGCAGTCGTGTGCTTCCCCGCCATATTCGGCATCAGCGTCGGCTTCCTCGTCCTCATCGGGAAGCGCCATGACCAAGACTGGGACTGGTATTACTCGGCCACGTGGGCGCCGGAGATCTTCAAGCTCGTCCAGGGGGCGGTGCTTGGCCTGCTGTTTACCCCGCTGATGGTCCTCTTCTGGCTAGCGAGGTGCGGCTGGGCGCTGAAGAAGAACGAGGCACGACCATCATGATTACTTACATACCAAGAGCGAGATTCATAACGCGCATACTTTATATTATTAATAGTCAATAGCATCATGACATCCTCATCCGTACCTGACCTCGCCCGCCGTCTCTCTAAACCAGTCATCGGCGACCAGAGACTCCTCCGTCGACGCATAGTTGATGATGGTGCTCTTGGCCGTCGTGTAGGCATGGTAAGCCTCTACGCCGTTCTCTGTGCCTAGCCCGCTCGAGGCCTTTGATCCTCCCCAAGGGCTGCTAGGGTCGTTCCGATGGTGAGTATTTACCCAGGTAATTCCCGCATCGATCCGCTCGGAGACTCGGAATGCCTGGGACAGATCTTGCGTCCATATACCGGCCCCAAGCCCAAACTCGCTATCGTTCGCTAAATTCACGGCATCGTCTTCATCCGTAAACGGGATAACCACAATGACGGGACCGAAAGCCTCCTTCCGCCACAGCTCGGTGTCTAAGAGATCGCCATCGGAATGTCTCTTCATGACCACGATTGTCGGTTCGTAAAAGTAGCCGTCTGAGAAATCGGTACTGTCAAGCTGGCTCGTACCTGTCATCCTTCGCCCTCCCGTCAACACCTCCACCCCCTCGTGCGAACGCGCCTCGTCGACCAGAGCCTCCACGTTCTTCAGTTGCTTCTCCGACACGAGCGGGCCCATCAAGGACGCCTTATTGATCGGGCTGCCTATGCGACTCGTGATGAACTGCATCTTCTGCTTTAGCAAGTCCACAAGTTTGGCATACACTTTATGGTGCACAATGATGCGCGTGCTGGCGATGCACGTCTGTCCACTGGCCACGAAGCTGCCGAAGGCGATCCCGTTGACGGCGAGCTGCAGGTCGGCGCTCTCGAACACGATCACGGGCGCCTTGCCGCCCAACTCGGCTGTATAGCGGGCCAGGTTCGCGCCCGCAATGGCCCCTATGGCGCGCCCGGCCTCGGTGCCTCCCGTCACGTCGACCTTGCGCACCAGCGGGTGCCGCACGAGCGCCTTGCCCGTGGAGTGGCCGTACCCAGGGACCACATTAAACACGCCGTCGGGTACGCCGGCGGCCTGGAGGATGGGGCCGAGCAGCAGCGTGGTCAGGGGTGTCAGCTCGCTCGGCTTGACGATGACGCTGTTCCCGGCCGCCAGCGCGGGCGCGAGCTTCTTGACTGCAATGAGGAGAGGGTGGTTAAAGGGGGTTATCTGCACGACCACGCCCAGCGGTACGCGGTCGACGTAGTTGTGGAGCTTGCCCGTCGTAGGAAGGACGGGACGCTCCTCGACGCGTAGGAGGGAGGCGTAGTACTTGAACCATCGGGCGAGGGAGGGGACTTGAACTTGCACTTTTACCTTTGTCAGTATGCTGTACTTATAATGGAGGCAGGCGGATGGTGATGAGGAGCGGACGTACTTTCGCGAATTACGCGCCCTGTCTGTTTTACCTCGAGGTCTATTAGCTCGGACAAACGCTCGGTGAGAAGTGTCGCGCATTTATCCAGCACGTCGGCGCGTTGGTGCCGGGACGCGCGCGACCAGACGCCGGATTTGAATGTTTCGTGGGCTGAGGTCACGATCTCTTGGACGTCTTCTTCCGAGGCGGAGTGGCATCTGATAGGTAGTCAATATGAGTCAAGTAAGGTTACGTGTTTATTTAGCATGCAAGCAGGCAGACGTTGTACTTACTGCGCGAAAACTTGTCCTGTTGCGGGGTTTTCGATGTTTATTCTGTTGAATGTTGGTGTTAATAGGTTGAGTTGATTTATTTAGGTGACATGAGCGAGGCCTTACATTTCACCCTTCCCTTGTACCTCTTGCCCCTTTATCCACATGAGATATGGACGCATCCTGGCTATCTGTATAGGTTCGCTCCTGGTTAATAGACGCAATGCAGATGTAAGGTTAACCATATGTATGAGAAGGGATATAGTATTGGGACATTACGATGGAAGTCCAAGTCAGCCTTTGATGTTCAGCTGAAGATGGTGGTGCCTCTGCCCCTCATACAGAGCTCATGTATCTCCGCATCTTATGAGATGTACATTTCCGAACACGGACGGCCGGGATCGCATCCGTTATCAACAGGGACCCATTCCATTCTATATTCGTGCCGGAATGTGGCCGGCTTGGCTTGTACAAACTTACAAGATAGATATTACATTAGGCCCAAAAACATCCGTTCAACACAGTAAAACTCATCATGGGCTGCCGCACAAAACAAAAATGAAAGGGCGAGTGAGTGAGAGCTTACAAACGCTACGCTCATTCATTACCCAGCAACAAGAGAAGGGTTTCCGAAAAATAAACAAAAAAATAAGAATGCTCTTGCTCTCGATCGGGGAATCGAACCCCGGCCACCTGCGAAATTGTTACTTAGCTGATCCACCGTTGGTGAGACACTACACTACACTAGATGAGTGTTCTAAATGACAAGCAGGTATCCTAACCACTAGACCAATCAAGATTTTGAATCATGCTGTAGTAAAATGAAAGAGGCGCTATATAGGCGATGTGGTTCTGGTGTTGTCAAATGAAAGGGATGTATGTATTGGGTGTGGATTGAATGAAAGACTTGAATAAGATGCGTGAGGTGTAAACAGTAAGAGTTTTTGAGGAGGGGGTTTATTCATTTACTGACCTGGTCACACTTTCAATTATTTTATTCATACTTCACTCTGTGTAAAATGGGGCGGTTGGAAAGTAAAAAGCAGTAAGAGACACAGACAGGCTCATTGTGATGGACGATGAAAATGGTTGGTATGTATGATTTCTTTGACTTTTGCTAGGCAGCCATGATAAGTTACATCAGCTGTGCACGCATTTACTTACGTCTACCACCTCTTCGATACACTCGGTCTAGACGTGAGCGTAGACGCAACACTGGACGCTGTGATGGTCGGTGGATGAGTAGCCACGGGCGTCGTCTCCGTCCCCGTGTATATCGCACCACCCCCCGTCGGCACAAGATGGCTGAGCGGCACCGTGCCCTCCTTGACACCACTCATGAGCGTCGGACCGGGGATCTTGTACGTCGAGAGGCCCGTGTAGATGTCGAGATACACGCTCGGCTCATCGGGACTGTACAGGTCATTCCCCAGGGTCCCGTCCGGCAACACGGTGCCGTTGCCCGTGATGCGGAGGTTGAGGCATTGCGGGTAGTTCTGGGCCCCGATCGGCTTGCTCGCGTTGTGCAGGGCGATGATCTCGGTGCGCAGCACGTAGAAGCCGGGCTTGACCTGCGGGGGGATCTCGACGACCCACGAGTTGTTGTTGGCGATGAGGAGGTCCGTCGCCCAGACGCCGCCCGGGCCGAACGTGTCGTTGGCTGCGTCGATCAGACCGTACTGGCTGATCTTGAAGAAGCGGAGGTCGTCCTTGTCGACCTCCTCGCAGGGCTGGCCCTCGCCGCAGGAGGCGAGATAGTCGATGACCGGGCCCTTGTGCGAGTTGGGCCACCCGTTCCACTGGATCTGGATGTGATCGCCGGCAGCGACTTGGGCGTGGGCGTGCGCATTGTTGGCGCCGCGGTGGCAGATGATCTCGCCGTTGGTGTAGCCGGTCTGGTTCACGTAACCATCGTCGAAGGCCGTCGTTGACCAGCCGATAGCCAACGGGTCGGCATTGGGGGCAGGCGGACGGAAGCCATTGTACATGAGCCTGTCAATGTTGATATTGGAGACGAAGCTATGTGCCGAGCCTATGGACACACAGGATGCCAGGACAAGTAGTCCTGTCGATAGTTGGGGATGCATGATGAGAGATAAACAGACAGCTATTGAAATCTGTTGGTGTTAATCTGATCAGGCAAGATCAAACGTGATATGGCGGGTAACACGACACTGAACCACCCGTATCCAAAGACATCCATGGAGTCTCGAGGACGATGACCGTCAGTGGCAATATATACACGGGAGACGAAAGGCCGCAGAGACCTCATGACCGTAAGAATGTATATGGAAGTCGGCATATCGATCAATTCGAATCTGCGTGGTTATGGCGCCTTACGGCAATACGGGTATTCACAGCACAGTCAAAAGAGCTTACTTGAATAAAATACTCGGCTTCCTGCGGAAATATCCTGCAACTTCATGATCCGCTGCAAGTTGTAGACGGCCCTACCTCGACGGGCTCGAGTAGATGCGCCTTCCTCATTGATACGTGATCTTCTGTTTAGACAAGTGATCGACTCGTGCCTGCTTGGCTAGGGGGAGAACGGACGGGAGAGGGCTCCGGATCGACAGCGAAATGTACAAAACCATGGACTGAAAAACCACGCGCATCTTCCGTGATTTGACCCGGTCGAGTTTGTACTAGAATAGAATCACCTGTGATCTGGTCGCACCAAGCACAACAGCCTGCCAGGACTGGACGAGCTGTCAGGGTCTGCCTACGAGGGCATTAAGAGCGTAAAAGCCTTGGCCTGGGAGAAACTCGGACACATTGCCAACTGATGCTTTGGAATGGAAGAGCGACCGGGAGACGCCCTCTACAAGAGTTTGGTCCGGTAATTTAAGCAGATTGAGCATCCTTGTCACGTTATGAGAAATGAGACAGAGGCGTGATTGATGTTGATGAGGATCGTGGAGAATCCCAGGCAGTTCGGTGCATGAAGTGCCGTGTTCAAGTTGGTCGGTGATCGACAGGCATGAAGATGTATGTACCTCGCTGTGGCTGTGCGGTAGATACAGTGGATAGGGATGCTGTTGTGGCTCACTGCGGCATGCGAATCCCCCTGAACCAGCAGTTTGGGTCGCTAAAACTGCGCTAAACTGGATCGACAGGGCACTCTAAGATATGTATACAGGTGTACGTCATTGGTGGGTGTTTTCAGGACGCGACGCGTTTGCGTGACGGGAGATGGTCCGTAAGTTGTCCACGAATTCCTGCGACTGATAACTTGAAAAAACACCAAGTTTTATCATTTTTTACTGTCAAAATGCCTCCCCGTTCAGCTCGTCCTCTAGGCGATCTTAACATGAACACACTAGCTGTGAGTTGCGCTGACAATTTCGGGTTTTTGTCCGTGGAATTACAATTAACGCGTCGACTCACTGACAAGTATATAGACACCCCAAGAACAAACAGTTGAGCCTGCGAACACGGCAACAAAAGACAAAAATGCCGTCGCGGCACCCAAGAAGCGCAAGCGCGACGCCGCGCCCGAACATGAGCCTCTGCCCGAAATCGACGACGACGATCCCCGCCTCGACCAATTCACAGACACGCCCCAGCAGACGCGCCGCAAGATCCAGTGCTTCATAGACGGCGGGCACACAGGTCGGCGAGTTCCAGAAGGCCATCGGCTGCGGCTCGGGCTCGTATCAGCGCTTCATGAAGATGACCGGCAGGCAGGGCGAGTTCAGCGACGCGTACCAGCTGGCCGCCCGCTTCTTCAGGAAGCGCGAGCTGCAAGGTCTCAAGGCCGTGCCGCCGTCCGTCAAGAAGGCGAAGACGACAGCCGCCGGGGATAAGAAGACGACAGGCAAGAAGGCGGCAGACGATTACCTCGACGTCTCGGACGTATCCATCCCCGGCGAGGAAAACACCGCCGTGCCCGTGTACGACACGTGCGACGAGGTGCGGAAGAAGATACGTGCCGCCGTGCGCTCCGGCGTCACCCAGGCGGCTCTATGTCAGGGCATCACGAATCACTGCCTCCCCGAAGGCTACGACGTGGGCTCGCGGCAGATGACCGCCTTCCTGGCGAAGAAGGGGCCACTTGAGGGCAACACGAGCATCGTCTTCTACGGCAGCTACGTGTTCTTCGAGAAGCGGAGGCTCAAGGACGGGAAGCCCAAGTCCGAGTTCCGCTTGGAGATGGAGAGGACCATGGTAAGGCCGGCGTCGATACCAAGACGCAGGCCAAGGCGGCCTGGTGCAAACCTGGCGAGTATCCGTATGTTGGCAAGCACGGCGTGTTTCAAATCGTGGGCAGGGGATGACTGTAACAAGTAATGTATCACTACCCTAGTTTGTATGATTATTTTCAAGTATATCCATTTAATCATAGGAGGTTTAGTGTTTATGACATATGACTGAAGCACCATATATCCAATACCGTATATCCAGATCAAGCACCGATGGCATCGCTTCACCCGACCTATATCACAACACACATTCAAGCCGTGAAGGGCACCTCCACCTTTCCCGCCACGGTACCGGCCTTATCAGATTTGGCAGCCTGCAGAGCCTGGACAAGGGCGGGATACCAGACATTGGCCATCTTGGTATCGCCAGACTGGTTCGGGTGGATGCCGTCACGCAGGTCGCTGCTGCTGAAGCCCGTGTATTGGTCGACCACCCAGATGGGCGACTCGGTCTTGTTGAGCCCCTGTGCCCAAGTCGGGATCGCATTGTTCAGGCTCTGGATGGCCGTGTTGTAGTTGCCGAAGCCCATGGGGATGATCTTGGCCACCTGCATTGAATCTCTACATCAGCAAGCTTGACCATCTGCGGTAGAACCGGGCCACAAACAATAATCTTCATCCGCGAGTTGCTGTCCCTCATGACGCCCACGAGCGTGGTAAAAGCGGCGATGATCTGGTCGACCGGCTTGTTCTGCTGCACGATGTCGTTGGTGCCGAGGTGCATGGTGACGACGTCGGCCGGGTTCTGCTGCAGCCAGCCGACGAGCTGCCTCCGGTTGGCGATGTCGATGGCCAGGAAGCCCGAGTGGCCCTCGTTGTCGCGGTCGTACCGGGCGTCGCCGCAGTTGTTCTCCGTCCGGCCCGACCCGACCCAGTTGACCGACGCGAACTCGGTCCCCTGCAGCTTCTCCCACAGCTTCGCGCGCCAGCAGACGATCTCCGTGATCGAGTCGCCGAACGGCATGTACCGCAGCGTCGTGTTCTGGCCCAGGGCGGCGCCTGCTGCCAAGAGCGCGGCCGTGAAGAGTCTGATCGAGAGCATTGTGAATAATACAGTAGAGGTTGGTGAAGCGAACTTGTGCGGAAAGGGGTTGTGTGTACCTCTACTGCCGTCTTGTCTTTAGGAACATGATGTCTTCATATATAGACTTCAACACGAGCACATCGCATTTGCAGGCTCGGTATTGTCGGAACCCCGAAGAAGCTGGGCACTCTGTTCCTTTCCCCCCCAGTCTTCCGATTCCAGAAAGCCTTCATTGCTCCGTCTCGTCGAAAGCATGTCGAGCGACCGCCATCGAATACAGCCGAAAACCGTGCCCTGCCCTCCCATACCTACTCCAGTCCAATCAAGTCGCTGGCGGTGACGACAGCCAAGCATCCATTTATCCCATGACTGCCTCTCGGTTGTCGGGCTATTTATCACTGTGAGTCGATCCACCGGATAATCTTTTGGCGATTTATTATCCTCAGCTCCGAATATTTATTTGCAAAAGCGTCGGGCTTGGTTATTTTCCGGGCAACGGAGTTGTACTGGCTTTCTTTCAACATGTAACCCCTTCATGACTACTGTATTTGCACATACAAGACGTCGTGATAG